CCCCAAAACCCCAAAACCCCAATAAGATTTAATACACAACTTTGAGTTATTTGAAATAAAACATAAATGTGTAAAAAAATTAATTCATTTATAAATCCATAATGAGTAGAAGTAAATTAAAACAATGTATAATGGCATTAAAAAAAGAATGTCCATCTCAACTCTTATTATGTTTGATAATAAAAGTAAATATTTCTACTCATAATATTTCCCTAATGTTTTATTGAATAATCAAAAAGCTAATAGCTGGGGGAATAATATGATTGAATCATTTCAAAACTCAACTTTTTACTTTAATAATTCAAAATAACATCATATAAATTTTTGTATATTCATTTCAGCAATTAAGATATATGAACAGACTCTCTGATTTAAATAAGTATTGAATATTTCTCTTCACTTAATCTCAAATCTATATCACCTTATAAAATACAAATAATCTATTATCTACTATAAGAAATCTTAAGTTCAAATAAATAGGGTACAATAAAATATTAGAGTTATAATTTAAAAATGAGGAGTTACGAAATCGACTTTGAAAAAAAGATAAATGAAGTTAGGAACTAGCAAACATAGATGGTAATCCCACCAAAGATACAATACCTTTAGACACAATTCCATCCAATTTATGATGATATTTTAGTAAGCCTTACAGAAACTGACTGGAATTTAAACGATCACTGCTATTCTGAGGTTTTAATAGCTGATCAGGGAAAAATGGTTCCCAAGGAAAAATTTTATTTAGGAGAAGTAGTTATGCCAGATATTCCTCTAAGAAAAGATTTAGGTACTTAAAAGAAATAAGGGTATATTGCTGACTATTTTCTTAAAGGATAGGATGTTGAGAATTTTCAACCTTGCAAATTGTACGATTTTTCCATATCTATGTGGAGGATCATGACTCAACATCAACCAACATGCTTAAAGGAGTATAGATTCAATGGTATGCCATATTAACGACAATTTTACTTTTCGCACGATGGCAAAGTCATATTCTTTCTACTGATTTATAACGCTAATGATGTTAAAACTGTAAAATGGTTAGTCTCATTAGATTCAACTACTTTAAGGGAAACTAGTGTAACTGTTTTAGAATATAATAACTTAAAGATAGACTAGATGAATGAATATAATCCTGTCTAAATAAATTTAGTACATGAGAGGAAATATCTGTTCATTAAATATTAGCTCGATTACACTTTTTTTGATGCAATAAGTGGAAAATTAATCCAGTCATTCTCGACATAGGATCTGCTGCCTATAAGTTAATTTTACGGTATTTACTTCAGAGAAGAGGAAGATGGTTTTTACCATTTGCTTTTCTTACATGATAAAGCTATTTAGATGAGAAAGCTAAAAATAGGTGGAAATATCTAGGAGTTCATGATAGAATTTAAAGATAGAGCTGATACGACAGCGAAGTTTAGAACGAGCAGCATAGATGCCTGTATCAACAAAGATTTCACAATATTAGCCACTAAAGATGATGCAATTACCTTATATAAAGGATCTAAATAGCCAGATGGGAACTATAAATGGGAAAAATATGATTCGATGAATGAAAGCGTGTTTATTATGCCTTTCAATACCTTCCTAAAGCAACAAATTTATTGCTAAATTTACTCTGGCTTGATTGCATTTTAGAACATAAAAGAAAAATTCGAGTTTAAATGCATCACAGGAAAATCAGTCCACCACAAAAATGTAAAGAATATGGATTAAATGGTGTAAGAAGATGGGAGTGTTCTTGTATGTGGAAACTTTGAAGATGACAATTAAACGGATTTCATTGGAATAGAGAAGCTAATTGATGGAAAATTTTACAATTGCGGAACTTTTAGTCGTAATATATCTTCTTATATATAGCATATATAGGTACTGGTGGTGGGTATAAACCAGCTTATCCTTTAGTCTACTATTAAAGAAACAAAGAAATGCTAATTTTCAACATGTGTAACCCTTAAATAATTCACAAATTTGATTTAAAAGAAGGTAATTTCTTCCTTATAATTACTTAAAAGAGTTCATTTAATTTGTGGACATTGCCCTTTAGCCAAGTACAACTCCAAGTGATATAACATTTACAGTAGGGTACTTGACCAGAACTGATGATGGATTTCAAACTAAATCACTTATTGCAGATATTTTCAAGAACAACTCCTACAAATTCTAGATAAAGGGTTTTAAAAGTATCAACTAGAATTAAGCAGACAAAACTCTTCTCATATAGAGAGTTATAAATCTAAAAGAAAAAATGATAATAGAAACAGAAAGAAAGATATTTTTTATCTCTGATTAAGTCAAAGTGATAGAAGAACCTAATTTTGTTAATATACCTGCTGTTTATGTGGAGAATGTGAAGAACTATACTAACGAATTTGCAGCTTATATTACCAAAGATGATGGAAAATATTAAATTTTCGTTGTCAATAAATAAGAAAAACTTATGTTTGAAATGAAACTAAGTCAGGACCCGATATTTTTTGGATTTCACAATAACAAGTTCTATTTAATGGAAGACGGATAGAATGTTCATTAATTAGGATTTAACCATTAAAATACGTTAGAATTAATCACAACTCTGGCAATTTAAGGAAAACCTCCCAATCATTTAATAACTAAGGATAAATATAGATATGGTTAAATCTCAGAAAAGTTCTTCTACATTTACGGCTAAGCCAATGTCCTTCTGGATAAAAATTCCTCAGTTTACTCATCTAAAACTTTCTCACAAATTTCCTTAACAGGAAATTTTTTAGAATTTCACAGCAATATGCATGCTTAAAAACAAGAATAAGCAAATAGGCTCTTTTATTTTGGAGGTAAATCAAGTTAGGGCATCAATATTGTGCAAGAATTCTCATAGAAAGTATTGAAAGAAAATGAAGATTTCTAGTAGAAATAGCTTAAGGCTAAATACTAAGAAGACATAGTCTTAAATGGTGGATGGCTGATTGAACAAAGGAATATTTATATGCAAGCATCACAAATGGACCCAAAAACTTTCGCATTTTATTCGATAAATTTGCCTGACTCTAATTATGAAAGATTCATTTGCTATGATGATCTATCTCGTGATAAGAGGGAATCCTCATTGGCAAAATTTGCTTCTTTTTACGTAGATAGTGATGACACTATACTTTTTCAAAACAATGACAGCTATATATTCATAAGGCCAAACCGATCATATTACATCGCCAAATTTATTCAATAAGATGGGAAAGTACTTGATGAAACTTAGGTAAAGGCATTCGAATTCATTTATCAAATTTCCGAAGATTAGAAAATGTTCCTTTTTAAACAATCAAAAATGAGCTTTTCACTCTATAAACTCATACAATCAACTGATGGAAAGTATTTCTTTGAGTTTATTAGAGAGATTGATTTTGGAGTTTCGGATCTTAAGTTATATGGAGATTACTTGTATCATAACGGATAATGTTATCTTTCAAATAGTGGAGAATTTCTTTATGGAAACTCATCAGTAGAAAATTACTTCTAGATAATGCTAACTGTTCATGGCAAAGATTAAGAAATTCTTAATGGCCATATTTAGAAGTTTTCAAATATCTATAGGTAATTATAAGAGCTTATGATGACCTTCAGAGAGAAAATTTACATTGAATTAATGAAATACGTCATAGAATTTTTAGATAATGACATCGATCACTTAAAAGAAAATCAAATGATAGACGAGATTAAAAAAACAGCTGTTTAGGAATAAACATATTCTAGAGTGGTTGATGAAGAGTTTAAAACGATCCATAAATTATTCAACTAAGAAATACTTTTAACTCCAGATTCTGATAAAATAAAAGTTTATATGGAGTTCTTGGCCAAAAATTTATGTAAATAGTGGCAAGATGGGGTATTTTAGTTCCTTGAATTCAGTATGCTTAATATGCCATTCAAAGAATTCTACAAGTTTGCGGAAAAAAAATACAGAAACTTCAAAAGCAGTTTATACACTGATAAAGGCATAGCAAAAATATTCATTGTTGGATCTTATATCATCTTGGAATATAATGGATAGATTGAGTATTACAACTATTAGTAAAAAAATATGAAATTTAGCTAGATGCGCATTTAACTTACTTCTGAACATAAATTGATTACAATCCTAAACACAGCTTTAGAAAACGTTTACTTATTTTATATTGCATCTTCAAGACGCAATTACTAAATAACTATCTTACTGCATTGGGATTTAACAAAAAATAAAGAATATTCTAGTCATGAATTCAAAACTGAACTATGGAACACTCCAAATCCTCAGAGTATGATAAGAAAATCATTTAGTCAGAAACTTAATTACTTTTACTTCCAAGGAAGTATTTATGACTTACAATTTCAATTCCCGCTTAGATTCCATTCTAATATACAGACTCCTAAAAGATATTTGCGGCATTACAAAAGTCAATTTAGAATCTTTAACGAAATTTCTATGGATAAGAGTATGTATCTATCCTGGGCCACTTGTTACAACTAATATTCCCTCTATGATTTGATATACTTCTAGAAATTGAATGAGGTTTAAATGATTGACTGGGATGTTTACAAAATTGAGCCATCTGCTTTATATGCCAGAATTAATACTAACACAATCTTCCATCAATATATATTAGATTTTAAGGCTCTTGATGTGATCATTAAAGTAATTGAATAATCCTAGGATTAAATTCCATAGATAATAGAAATTCTTAATCATATATTTTATCCAAATAAATACGGCAAAAGTGCTTTTGATATTGCTATTGATAATTTTAGAATTAGGAATATTGAATTAATACTGTAAACAATGAATTAATATCCATAGTTTAAACTTACTCATGCTATTAGAAAGCACTTCAATATCTTGCTTAATATGGGTATAGTTTAATTCAATACGTTTTTGGAAGGATGCACATTTAAGAATTATATGCTAGAGGATGTAAGATAGCTCTAATGGTAAAGCAATGATGAGGAATAATACTTGGGATATCACACAAGTTTTATTACTGATAGTTTCTTAGAGGCTTATGATTTTATACAAAAATTAGATGCAAAGGAAAAAATAAAGATTGATCATGATTTCTACAATAAAATGTCTAAGGTAATTCTAGATTAAGCCCACCTAGATCCTACTGGTAAAGAAGAATTGAAAACATTTATCTCAAAAGATGCAGTAAAAAACCTATCCACATCTTAGGAAAACTTTAAAGGGGTTAACTTCTCAATAGTAGATTTTGATGAAATTTTTCTGCAAGGAGAATTTTCAAAATAGTTTATCAAATCACTAATTGATTCTAATTAAGATAACTTTTTTGGAATATACACAATCAAAGTCCTTCTACTCTTTTTATGGGAGAAATTCTTCTACAAGATCCGGAATCGTATTTTCTTTCCTTATGTTTTATACATGAGTATATTTTTGCTATATGCTACTGATATTTACGATCGACATATGAATGATGACTCTCAAACTATGACTATAATCTACTGGATTATTATAGCAGCACTTTTCAGTTTCTTGGCATTTTTCTTTTTTATAGAGATCCTTTAAGTGTTCAATTATAAAGGTTCATATTTTCTATCATATTGGAATATCTTGGATCTCATTTCAATTTCATTGAATATTGCATTTATCTTACTTGACCTTAGTAATGTTGAATCCACTAAAGTTAGGCCCTTGGTATCTGTAGCAGTATTTTTGATGTGGATAAAGCTTTTCTATTTTATGAGACTTTTCTAACCAACTGCATCTTTTATTAGAATGATTGTTCAAATATTCCTCGATATGTCTACTTTCCTGCTCTTCTTGGTGATAGCACTTGTTGGTTTTGGAAATACATTCTATATTCTAGCAGTTAATTTAGTAGAGTCAAACAAAACAGAAGAAGAAACACCAGAGCTCTTTACTGGAAACTTTGGATTAGCAATGATTTATGCTTATAGGGCAGGCCTTGGGGATTTTGCTACAGATCAATATGCAAGCAGCAAAGAAGAATGGCTCCTCTGGATTTTCTTTCTCCTAATTACAATTCTCATTTAGATAGTTATGCTTAATCTTCTCATTGCAATAATGGGTGATACTTTTGATAAAGTAATAGAATTAGGGGAACAATCAATGCTAAAGGAAGTTGCCTAAATGATTTATGAAAATGAATTTTTGATAAACAGATCTAAAGAATTTGCTGATATAAAATATATTGTTGTAGCTAAAATTGATCAAGCTGGAGAATAAGGAGTATTTAACTGGGGCGGTAAGCTTGAAAATCTTAAAGTTTCCTTCTAAAAGATGATAGATGATTAGAACAAAGTCATTAGCAAAAAACTAGAATAAGCTCAGTCCAATAACACTGAAGGGAGAACAGATGTGTAATCTTAACTAAGGTAACTCCAACATTAGATGGCTGATATTAAGCTTTTGTTAAGTGAAAAGGTTGTTCCAAAACTAGCAAAGCTACCAGTATGAGTATTGGAATTAGAGAAGATTAAAATAGATGAAGATTATTTTATAACTTAAGTTTAACTTAAATCTAGTTGAATTTAAATATTCAATACATTAATAAATGCTTTTAATTTTTATTATTATTATTATATTTATTTTCTGAAGAGATAACTAGTTTGATTATCATTTTTATAAATTATAATTTTTAACTTAATATAGTACTGATGGGGTTTTGGGGTTTTGGGG